ACGTTTTTTTAGAAAATAGTAATTTCCATTTTTTATGATATTGAATTTGATTCTGCGTTCAAAATCTTTAATTTGGAAATGCTTAACATCAAATATCAGAAAAAAAAAGTGGATATTTTATACGACAGATGAGGAGATGAAAGTAAAGAGTTGGTATGAATAGGGTAGAGCTTCTCCTTTACCAAGCTCATCCGTTAATGAGGGATGGTGAGAGGTGTTTCCCCCTGCCACCGGTAAAAGGAAAGAAAAGAAAATTGATCTTGCACACCGTTTTATTGGTGATGAAAAGCTTGGTTTTGAGTCCGCAGCTGCAAATGCCTTGCCAGATCATCAGTTTCCAGGCGATTTTATCGGCGAAAACAAACTTGAATTTACTGGAGACATCACCCAGGGAACATGCCTGTAATCTATCTTGACAAAGGTTTCGTTGTCCATGAGAAGACATCCTCTGTACTTCTTCACAACCCGTTCGTACAACTTCCAGGCGCGTGTTCTGGCCACTCGATTCTGCTTCATCGATTCGTACAGTACGATTCGTTCGGTTGCTTGGAGACACGGAATGAACGGTAGCCTGCTCGCAGGCGGATCCTCCGGGCAGTACTACGGCTGGCACCGTATTTTTTGGTGACATCCCGATTCGAAAGGCCTGGTTTTCTCTTGATCGACTTCAACACCTTCCAGTTCGGCAGCTGGATTCGAAGTTCCAGCACGAAGTTTGCTTTGAACGTTTGCGATCAAGGAATCGCTTGAGAACATCTCGGATTTTCGACGTGGGTGTGCAGGATCAATTTTCTTTTCTCGTCTTCCATCTAGTACAGCTTGTTTGATACTGCACTTGTCGAGGCGAAACTTTCACTACTGAAACACGTGTACTTTAAAAAAAAAAATCACTGTCAAAAAATTCCAAATCCGATCACTAGAGGCGCTGCTATCGAATAAAAAAAATTGTCCGGATTCTAAGTGGAGCAGACTTTAGGTAAACTGTGAGTGAGTACCATGAAGTGAGGTTTTGATTCCCGTTTCAACAAGGTGAATTTTCCATTAAAATGAAATTTCTTACTGGTCTACTGGGTTTTTTGTGTGGTACGTTGTCAAGAATTGAATTGTAAGTCTGAACTCCCTCAGTCAAAAATATTATAATTGTTTATAACTAATAAAATCTTTCAGATATAAAATGCTGCTTCAAATAGTAAGGGCTAAACATGAAATCAGTTATTAAAAACTCAATCCAGGTTACTCGATTCTATGCTTCTTGCTATTACAGGGTACAGTTTTAAAAAACAAATCTATAAAATGTTTTCTTAAGTATTTTATTTTTTTCATTGAATTCAACTCAATTCCTGAAATTCTGCACAATGAATATGTAAGATTTTTGGACGCACGTTGCTAATACTTTTTTTTTATCTTTTTCATGATTTTAGCAATGACAGGATTTCCTGATTTTGAATTTTAACTAGAACAGATTTTTTGGGGTCGGGATGTGCACTCTTCAAAATGTTGGCTTTGGCTTTTAGAAGAATCGACTGAAATTTTGAAGAACTGACTCCCAAAAACGTCAAGTGATCCCTACCATGCACACTCCACCCCATGCTCACCACCCCATGCAAAAGTAAAACGATAGGAAAAGTATCAATACAAATAATGCAAAAAATACGTCCGCAAGATGGTGCTAACTTGACTGTGGTTGCTAGTGGAAGAAACAGTGTTAAACCTTTGCCCCTCAATATTCCCAAGGACTACTGTTCTCGCACTTCCGCCAGGACACGCATACACACTCACAAAGGTGAATCCCATCACAATCACGCTCAGTCGCCTTTTTATAGACGATTTATAGCGAAGCGCACAACTTTCCCATATGTTGCCCCAGTTGGACCATGACCATGGTAGGAAGCAGGTTGCGCGTCTGATGATGGGAAAGCAGTATAAAAAGGGTGTTAAAAGCTTTCTCCGCACTATAAAATAAAGTTTTACTTCGTTTCCCGCGAACCTTTTGAAGGCACTGATATTCTTTCTCGACGACGACGGCGACCTAACGATGAACCACATGCCATGGCATGGCACCAGCCAATGAATGCCATGGATGCTTGAAGAAGTAGCAAGGAAACCGCTTTTAAATTGGGTCACATAACGTCGTAAAGGGTTGCTAAAATTACGGAAACAATTTTACGATTATCGCATTCGGAGGTTTGCACTATAGATGCGCGACTATGGAAGCATGGTAGTAGTGTGTAGACGTTGCTATATTGAAGTCAAGCCATCGGAATTCTTTTTATGAGCAATTGAAGGGTTTGTTCTGCTTGCCAGCATCAAACGGTGTCTAATGTGCAAGTCGTACAAGGAATAATCATGCTAAAATTTAAACAACCTCATTTGAAGTTGATCGAATCTCTGTGCCGAACCATGCGTCTCCATTATAGCATCAAATTCTATGGAATGTTTTCTTCTACCACTAGATATAAAACCCATCAAAATTCATAAATTTGGCACCATCACACTTTCTTTAACATCCCCCAAGAAACGATCCTAAAACCACCACTACCATCACACTGGCCAGAATGCTCGTGTATGTATCTCTTTCTTCGGCCATTGGTCCAACCCTATAATTTTAGTACCTCTTCCTGTAGTAGCCGAGTGACCTACTTGCTATGGCAACGTGGCCACGGTAATGAGGGAAGAGTACTAAATTATGCATAATTGCCACATTCATCAGGTTGGTTGGTGGTACACTCTAGCGCAGCTGATGTCGTCGTCGTCACTACACAGCCTTTCTACCATCTACTGTTGAAAGGGTGCATATCTCCAGTATAACGCCTGCCTGGCTCCCTTCGCAACCCCTAGAATACCCAACCATATGGCACCTCTGCCAAGCTTGTATGTGGACATGAAAACAGGCGAAAAAAGTGGCTGTTGATGATGGGGACGTCAACTGGTGAAGATTATGATGATGCTGAAAGTGATGATCCTTGTGCTCTGGTAGGGGACACAGCACTTCCGTGCTTCCGTTAAGACAGCATGTTCAACTTTTTCGTAGCAATTCTACACTGTTATTTGATTCGATTCAAATTTGAAGGGATGATTTTGTAGAACGACAAAAAGGGGCCATTGCATTGCAGCAGATCAAATCAGCATTTCGATATCGACTCACGAACGGTTACCTATAGTTTTACCTTTGCTCTGGTTTGTCACCCTAGGATAGGAAGTGTAACGTTTGCAGCCAGAGGAAAATCGTTTCCTACTTATGCGACAACGACGGCGATGATGACGAGGCCAAGAATGTACGTACAACATTCAAGGTGCACTATAGCAGCAACCAAAATGAGCACATAAAAAGAGCGGAAAAATAAATTGTTTTCTTCAAGTACCTGCACGCTAACTCACGAGCATGAAAGGTGTTACAGCTTGTGAAAAGTTTTCCGTCCTACAATATTTTTTTTCACTGGCAGAGCACGGAAACGAAATAAAAAGTGAAATTTAAAGAAAGTAATCCAAGTACCTTAGAAGTGTTATTATGAGAAAATAATGGAAGCCATCTGTCACAAAATAAACCCACGTGTCGCAGAGCTACCGATATTAATGCTTCTAAAAATCACAAATATTTTCATAATTAAGTATTTCGACGGTGACACCGTGCGTCATAAATTTTAGTTTCTTCCAGGCGTGGAAAATCATTTACATTAATTTCGTACATTCATTAACATTCATTTTTCTCTAACTTTTTTAATCATCAATATTCCGTAAAACGATGTATAACGCTTTCTTAGGTATTTTGATATTAACTACAACATAGGCCGTTTACAATGCTGAGGTTCAAAATTGTTTCAAACTACTCGGCAGTTCTAAAATTTGAAACTGTCAAAAATGAAACTGCAACACAACCCGCACAACGCATAGCTTTAAAATGTGTTTGGTATTCATCCCTACATATGTGTGCGTGTGAAAATTTTGTTTGCTACAGTGATTTTAACACGAACGGAGAAGGTGATTCTGATTCAAGAATGTTTCCTGGAACAAGATGATTACCACAACGTAATCGAGTGTTAGGTAACGAGTAACTACGAGAACAGGTTCCGAACGATTCTGATTCTGAGAATTTCAGAATAGACGTGAGTATCGCTAGTATCCAATCTACGAAGTATATCAAAACAACGCTAACGCTAACGCTAACAAATTTGATACCAAATTTTGATTACATTTTGCTGTACATTTGCTTTTTAAAAATATGGTGTTGCATTGTTTTCAGTGCCTTAGCAAAACATTGAATACCTTTTTAGTTATCAACAGGAAAAATATACATCAAATTGAAGTTTCAGTTTGCTCTCACTGATAGCAGAATTAAGTAGTTTTCAATGTGATGTCATAGGAATATTGTTGTGTTGAGTACTTGGCACTGATGAAGTCTGCAAGCAGTAGACGAAATACGCGTATCTGTCAAAAGATAAACAATTATAACGGAATTTAAAGGAAATAAACCAACACACTCAAAGTTCTTCATAAAGAGATTCCGTTAAGAGGTTCGACAAATTTTAAAAATTGCGGAATATTTTGTTGCTTTAAGTTTTGATATTTTAACCGTTAAAACGACCAAAACGGCAGCAATCTGAGTAATCATAATCAGCGATATCTTAACATAAAATGTAGTATTAAATTTAATCTCATACTTTGGTCGGGTTGGATTGTTGACGGGTATTGAGGTAAATACATATTCGCATTGAAAATGGAACCGAAATCCAAAAGTTCATCAATTTTGGTGCAGTGGAACTATTTCAAATATGTGTGATTACATTAGCAATAAATCACCACCTTAACGCTACTCAATGGGACTTTTTATGATAGCGAACTGTCAACAAATAGAATTAGCGTCAAAAATTAAAAATGTAAATCCTGTTTTAAAATTAGTGATGAATCTATGGGATCGATAAAAAATATCGTTTTGCTCAGAAAACGAAGCTATTTCAGATGATATATAACCCACTGCTCATACTTTCTATGACTAAATTGTGATAAAATTAATCATTTCGATATAGCGCTTTATTGTTTCGAATCATTTACGTAAAACACTGTTCACTTGAAAATCTTTCGGGATATCCTCAATCGCGTCCCTCAAACTATCGACCGTACAGCAGTAGGTGAACCCGCGATCGAAATTTCCGAATCTCTCATAATTCCAACCGTACTCTTGACATACATCCTCACAAAGCGTCTCATTCACTGGCATAGCTTTGCGGAATGGATCGTTGTTAGTGACGAATGCAATGCCAGCACTTGTGGTGGGGGATATAATTATCTTCCAATACCACTTCGGTGCCCTGATGCCACCTGCTTCAAGTGTTATCGGTATCGATTGTCCGTCAACATGTGGCAATAGTAGAATATCATGTACTCCATCATACACGATTACATCCTCTCGAAGTTGGGCCGCTTTGGAGCGAGACAGATTTTCCACCACTAACCAATTACCGGCGTTGACAACCTGTTGAGTATCTGCATGTTCACATGAAAGTACTAAACTAATCTATATACGATCCTGTGCATACCTGCCACTGTGGGGCAACGTTTACATAGAAGAAGGTGGCCCACTGCCAGGATCTGTAGATGCCATCAGCATCCGGAGCCAAATGGCCACGAGCCAAATAATATGATCCACCTTGAAGAAACTGTTTGGCTTGGTCCTCAGATCCTAGCAGTTCAATAAATCTGTCCATTTGTGCTAGCTGAGTGTACGAAGTCGCTGGACTGACATGCGAAGAAGTTCCAGCTATCTTGAATCCAGGTCGGTAAGCTTCCTTTATTGAATCTGTAGAATAAACCTCCTGCAGCAAGATGTATCATAATATCATGCTAAGTATCTTACACTTGATGGCTGCACCAGGTATCACATGCTTGGTATAAACTACCGATGCCTCCGATCTATCATAGCACGATTCGATGTACGTCAGAAATCCCAATCCTTCGACATCAAACCCAAGCTTCAACAAGGTCCCACTGGTCCCACATTTGTCACCAGTCTCTTCAACTTCTCCAGTCATTCGTCCAGAGCATTCCAATTCTGACGAGTTAATAGGCATACCATCAACCAGAAAATTTTGCTCGGATAGGCACGTAAGCGATGCAGTGTTGTTGTTCACTACAACGGTTATTAATACAGATCGACTCACTGATATAAACTAATCAATCATCAAATTACCGTTCGTGAGCGACGCTTTGGCACAAGCCACTATCGAGCTTTCCTGCTCATCCCAAGTTAGTTCAGGTCCATCCGGAGCCCACAGCTGACCGTTCTTGATGAACAGCGGTTCCAATGGTCCCAAATGGTCCTGTAGATTCACAATACATTCTGCAAATGGTCACATTACAAATTTGCACCAAACTCAATTTTAAAATGCTCTTACGTAAACGAACCGGTTGTAGCACAGCAGAAAATAGAATGAACCCGAGTCCTGCCAAGTGCATTATGAATGATGAATAGTTACTATAAAGAATGTCTGGTTACAGGAGATCGTTACCTTTTATAGTCTGGCTGAAGTGTGCAACGTGCACACAAGTGCATAGAGAGAAAGAGATCCCGCTAAAGCGCGTAAGCTGATAACTATCAGCTGTAGAGTAATCAAGTGGCCGCTTGATTCGATTTTTTTGGATTTGTACATACGTTCATCTTCCAATCAAGTGATGTCATTTTAGATTAGTTGCCAATTTTCATAACTAGATAACACCTACGGAGCCTTGAACTTACACAAATAAACAAACAAAACAGAACGCATGCGGCATCGCTTGCGGTTGTGTATCTTCGTGTACATAGCTTTACCGTTCGCTTGTACATTTATTGCTACAATAGCGCAGCTTCAACGATACGATACGTGAACTTGAAGATAATTTTCCGTGCGTAAAACTGGAAAATTGTTACGGTTTAAATTCTTCTGCTATCTGAGGACAACCGAAACAAATGAAGTAAATCTTTTCCGCTTTCTATCCCCGCCTACAGTTCATACGGGGGTCTCAGATAGCCTAGTTAGTTAAGGCATACTATCACCAAGCCCCAGGGGGTGGGTTTGAATTCCAGTCCGGTCGAAGAAATGTTTCGAGTTGGACATCTTCTCGACTTCCCTGCGCATAGAGTATCAGTACCTATGGAGAACATATAACATCTGATATGTATGGAACGCAAATGATGCACGTACTCTATACGATAGTTAAAACATGCATGGTTGCAATGGAAATTTATAAAGTAATGGATGATCTCTTTGATAAATTGACTTGAACTCCAGAACAATTTGGAGAAGCTTTAATGTCTGCTATACATGGACCATTTGCGCGTCCTCTAAACCTCATTCTCTGCTTGACCGTTAAGTAGTTCAGTTCGGTTTTGGCTCGCTCTCTTGAGTTGTTCGCAAAGTTCGTTGCGCAGTTGGCATCGAAGAAGTTGCTGGCGAACAACAGTTATGCCATATTGGAAAACGGCGATGAACCGAACACGGAAAGGAAAGAGAAACAAACAAACCTGCAGCTTGATATTGTTAAGCTAACAAGACATCAAGCTTGGGACAACAGTCGGCGCAATCAAAACGGTATCTTCCTGAATAATGACCTGCAGGAAGTGCAGTACAACACTCCCATTCGGTTGAGTCAGTCCGGTGCTCACGCCACCAAGAACTCAGCTCGGACCACTATCCGGTGGTGGCCGCAGTTCATTCCGCGGTGAACCGATTCGAACCTTCGCGGGACAAATACCATCGCCTCAACTGGTATCAATATTAACACTGCGTCGATACAACCATCGTCTACGATGTCCAACCGGAGACGTCAGCAGACGTTGGCAGGTGTCTGCAATCCATCTAGGAAGCAATACCCCAAACCAGGGAACAACAAATGCCAGTATCCAGACAGGTGAGTAACACTAAAGACTACTAAAGACCACATTAGTCTCCGTAACACCATTCGTAGGCAGATCCAGCGTACTGGTCTGCCTAACTTGAAGACCAATTGCAATCGAATAACAAAGATCATTCAGGATGGTGGATCTCAGAAATAATTATTCAGCAAACAAGATCCATTCTATCCCAGATTGTGCAAAGCCTTTTCTGGAAGCTAACCAGAATCTTAAAAAAAATAAGCCCAGTCCCCACCACTGGTTCCAATGAATCGTCCCAATGATTCAGTGGTTCATCTGATAACTCCTGTTAAGAAGGCTGCTATGATTGGCCAACACTTCGTGAGTTCCCACAATCTCGGACAAAACATGACTAGTCCACATGAGTTCTAAATTCTACGATTACCTGGCACTGATTATGGCTTAGTCACTTCCCCTCGTGCTAGAAATTAGCAAAAGTCATACCCATCCGGAAACCTGGGAAGGGTCCTTTGTCTCCTATCAGCCATATCAGCAGGGTTATCAAAGCTCCTTGAAAAAGCAAGTGATTTACCGGCGTCATCAAACATCTGCCGTCGAAAATAACATCTTACTCGAGCAGCAATTTGGTTTCCAACAAGGTCGGTCGACTACTTACCAACTGACTCGAGTAAGCAATATTTTCAGATGGAAGAAGTCTGTATCTAAGACATCTGCCATGGCATTTTAAGACGTTGAAAAAGCGTTTGATAATGTCTGACATAATAGCCTCGTGTAAAAATTACAACGATACGGTCTTCCAATCTTCCTCGTGAAGACCATCCAAAATTATCCCTCAGACAGGACATCCCAAGTCTATCTCAATGGCAATCCACATTGGCGCGGGCATTCCGCAATTAAGTGGGCCCATCTTCTTCAACTTGTTCACCTTCGTTATCTCTGTTTGCAGATGAAACATCCATCGTCTACCAGGGAAGGGCCATCGGAGCTCTTACTGCCAAACTTCAGAGTGGCTTGGATGTCCTATCTGAGTATTTCGACAAAAGGAAGATCTGTGTCAACGCGGCGAAGATCCAGGTGATCATATTTTCACATTTTCTCTGTCTATATTTAGGTAAGTACTTCTACTTGTTCAGAGGCGCGTCCAACAAAATAAAATAAAAACTACCGCTCGGTTACTAAATTATAACAAATATGGTTAGGGAATTATCATGTTCCTAACGTAGCTCGTTACAAAATAACACATTAGGTAAAATCTAAATAAGGTATAAGCTGGGATTTTAACACATTTTTGGATGAATTTTTTAAGTGTTTTTCTATGTTTAGATCGTCATCAAAAATTAAAAACCAGGCCTCACCCGCAAGGCCCTGGCACCCTTGTTCAAAATTGATTACCAGATTTAAAAAAAAAAACCAAAAGTGCTGCAACCGGGATTTGAAACCAGGCGTCGGAGAATCTTGGAAATGTAGAAAACACATCAAAATATACAGCTTCAGTTCATTGTTCGGTATCGGTTTTCATTGCCTCCCGGGAGCCCGCCCAACTAACATGTTGAGCTTTGTAAGCCAACTTTTCCAGCTTGGTGCTGTAAAGTAGCTGAAACAAAGCTGCGGATAAAGCTACAAGCAGAAGCTAGCAAAATAGTTTTGGAGAGCGTTTGTTCAACTTTTTCACAACCATTATTCAATTTGTCAGTCGCACTGAATAACTTCAGCCAATAAACGCTAATGTCACTTCAATACAAATTTTAATCAACTTGCAACTTTTAGCTGCAAAAACAAAGCTAATAAAGCCAATATATTACTTATTTGATGGCTTCTACACAACCAACCACTCGTGCTGAATAACATAAACATCAAAAGTGCTTTTTCAACAACTAAACAACCTGTACTCAACTAATAAACTGTGTTAGCGCTACTTTGGAAGCTATTTTACAGTCAACTAGGTTTATTTTTAGACGTGTGCAGTTTTACAGCTTTTACTCTGCTTCTTTCTAAAGCTGAATTAACTAGTCGAGAAAAGTGATTCATGTGCACTATTATAAAGCCTCTACTCAGCGATCTTGTTGTAGAAGGGCATGTGTTTTTGTTTACGTCAGTTCAATGTGTTGGCGTAGCGAAGTTGGTAGTATCAAGGTTCGCCAATGGGGTCGTCTCGAGTTCGATTCCAGGCTCCGGTGTAAATTAATAATAAATAAAAGTGTGAATCATTTGGTGGTGTGTTTATAACTAATTTCGATTAATTTGATTCGAATAAAATAAACATGATAAATTTCTCCAACAAAAAAAAAGAGCGTAAACAATATTTAACCTGGCGTCAAAAGAAAACTGTGTAGTGATTATTGGATAATCGGGTAAAGGTTGAGTAAGCGCTTTTCAATTTCACACACAGCTAAACAGCAGGATACCAGCTGTATAGAAGCGTAAATAGATATGCAATAAGAGCTTGTCCGAACCGTCACAACAGCCATAAGTAGCTGAATAAGTTCGCCAGATTTGCTTGTATAGAGGTTGAGTAAAGGTTTCTTCATATCGTATAACATTTGAATACAGCTTGAGGCTGTATAAATGAAATGAGTAAAGCGTTCGAGTTTTGATGGTGATCCGGTGGCCGACGTTGCCGTGAATCAGCAATTTTTCCGCTTGCAAAAGTGCTCGGCTGCTGGTCTCTCGCCGGTGTCGGAGATTGCGAGCAATATGAAAGATGCCTCGCTGGATACGCACAAGACTGGACGGGTGGTAATTGGTGGCCGCGAACTGTTCCTGGGGAAAACACTAGACGCGAACCTCCTCCCAGATGGCAATGCAAATTTGTGTTCGTTGAAGGAACAACGATAAAAGTACATCACGAAATGAGATGCAAAGCTTAGAGAAAATCAAAACTACGGAACCCATTGGAGGATCAAACTAACATGGTCCAAATACATTTAGAATAAAAAAAAAAACAAACTAAATACTAATATTTTTGAACCTGGAAGCGTGTATGTATTACCAATATCCATTTGATAACGGTGATGCATACATGCGGGGCTTATTGTAAGTGAAAGTAACCTCGGAATGGGCGTGACTCTCCAGACATCCTGAAATGGGTTGCTGGATCTACAATAGAGCTATCACTTTCTAGCTCCCGGACTAAAACTGTCTACAATGACCATAAATGCGACATTTTAGAGAGAGTTCTTCCATAATAACACTGCCGGCCAGTGGTGGTTAGAGGGATACACACACACACACACACACACACACACACACACACACACACACACACACACACACACACACACACACACACACACACACACACACACACACACACACACACACACACACACACACACACACACACACACACAAACTTAAGGCATATTCTGTGTCTGAAGCATATTGTAAATGTCGATTTTACCCCGAATGAACTATTGCACAGACGCAGACAGTATATGAGCAAGTCAAACGCGCTCTTTTTTGCCTGTGTATTTAAGGACATACCTCAAATCCCCTAACCCTTCAAAGTATGAGCTAGGTAAAGGAGTACGCATTTGATTAGTATTATCGCATTAATGGCCCTTCGCTCAATTTCAACTTCAGTAACAACACACATTGATTGAATTTTGTTTGTTTGTTCAAATCCGTTCAAAAAAG